CCAATCTTATTTCTGCTCAGAAATTGGCCCGAGATAATAACTGTATTGTTATTCTTAATGCTGATGGTTTTGTGGTTCGGGACCAAATTTCAAGGAAAATACTTCACAAGGGCACTAACATTCATGGCCTATATCATTTCTTGCCCATTGCTACTTCTGCTTCTCATGTTGCTTCACAGCATGCTCATCATACTACATCTACATCAACTACATCTACATCTCATGCATCCACTACTTCCAGTTCTCTTTGGCATCATAGATTAGGCCATCATTCTCCATTGAAGTTACACCATCTCACACATCACTTAGGAATTAAGCATTCTAAGCAAGTTTCACTTGATTGTGTAGATTGTTCTATTTCCAAGAGTCACAGACTTCCCTTTCATTAGTCCAATTCTACTGTTAATAAACATCCTTCATTGATTCATAATGATGTATGGGGACCATTTAATTTTTCTTCTTCTTACAAATATTGTGTTCTCTTTGTGAATGATTTTAGTAAGTTTACATGGTTATATCCCTTAACCTACAAAAGTGAAGTCTATCATAAGTTTCTTGAGTTTAAAGCATATGCTGAGAAGCATTTTTCTACTACCCTCAAGATTCTTAGAATTGATGGTGGGAAAGAATTTATGAATAATAAAATGAAAGATTTCCTATCCACACAAGGCATTGTCGATCAGCATTCTTGCCCTTACACACCACCACAAAATGGTGTGGCCGAAAGAAAACATAAACATCTTTGTGAAATGGCAATTGCTTTGATGCATCACTCATCTGTTCCTCTCCATTTTTGGTTTGATGCTACTGTTTGTGCCACTCACTTGATTAATATGTTGACTTCTTCTCAACTAGCTCGTAAAACACCATTTGAACACTCAGGCAGATTTTTCTATGCTTAGAGTGTTTGGTTGCCAATGTTTTCCATGGCTTCGACCATATACATCTCACAAATTGCAGCCTAAATTTTTTTTCTTGTGTTTTTCTAGGCTACCATTCATTTGCTAAAGGTTACAGATGCTTAGATCCTTTATCTAGCAAGATTTATTTGTCTAGACATGTGGTCTTCAATGAACACATTCTGCTCTTAAGCCACCTAAACCCTCTTCTTCCATTGTTGTTTTACCTCATCTTCACTATTTCTTTTGGTCTACTATTTATTCACCATATAATTCTTCTTCTTCTGTTATTTCTTACTCTTCACATTCTACTTACTCTCATTCTACTTCTTCACAGCATACTTCTATTTGTTCAAAGTTAGATTCTTCATAGCATACTTCTCCACAGCATACTTCTCCTATTTGTTCAGAGCAGATCCTTTTTTCCTTGCAGATTCTTCTCTTCCTCTTGTTTCTTCTCCTCCTGTTCCTCATATTCCTATTCAATCCATCTCTATTTCATTGCCTATCTCTAAATCTATTCCTTCTTTCAATATACATTCCATGACTACCAGGTCTAAAGCTGCAGCTCTTGTTTCCTTCATATCTATTGTTTCTCCATCTTTTACAGAGACTGAGCCTCCATCTTACAAAGAGGCTTTACTTCCTCCTATTTTGTATCAAGCTATGACCAAGGAACTTAATGCTCTGCATAAACAGCATACTTGGACTCTTGTTCCCTTACCATCTGACAAGATAGCCATTGATTGTAAATGAGTGTTTAAGTTGAAAAGAAACTCTGATGGCACCATAGCAAGACACAAAGCTAGATTGGTTGCTAAAGGATATGTTCAACAAGAGGGTATTGATTATCAAGAAACATTTATCCATGTTGCCAAATTGCATACAATCCAGTTCTTCTGTGTCTTGTTCTTCATCACAATTGGTCTTCAAACAGCTTGATATCTCTAATGCCTTTTTACATAGAGTTCTTGAGGAAGAAGTTTATATGTTGCAGCCTCCTAGTTTCGTTCATTCTCCTCAGTGCATTCATGTATGCAAACTTCACAAGGCACTATATAGGCTCAAACAGGCACCTAGAGCCTGGTACTCCACATTTTCTGCTTTTCTTCTTTCTCAAGGCTTTCAGAATAGCAAATGTGATTCATTTATTTTCATTCAAAAGACTGGTACATAGTTCTAAATATCGGCCAATACGCTACGTATCGGCCGATACGTATCAGAAAAATGGGGTGCCGCGACGGATACAGGCCGATATACCACTGAGATTAAAAATCGCAGGAGTATCGGCCGAGTCCCGGTACGTATCGGCCTGTAAGCGTTACACAAGCCGTTACACAAGCCGCGACGGGCCGATACTCACCGGTTCGGACCGGTACGGGAAAGAAAAAGTTGAAAAACCTTTGAAATGTTTTTTAAAATTTCACCACCACGACACCCGATTCCCGATACGTACCGATCGATACTACCGATACCGATACTCCGCGATCGATACCGTTACGTTACCCGATACCACGATTTAGAACCTTGGACTGGTAGCACTATTACAATTCGTCTAGTCTATGTTGATGACATTTTACTCACAGGCAATAATAATGCTCACATTCAGTCTCTTATTGCTCATATGCATTAAGCTTTTTCTATGAAAGAGTTTGGTCATGTGTCCTATTTCTTGGAGATTTCAGTTCACTCTACTGCCACTGGTTATACTCTTTCTCAACACAACTATGCTCATGACATTCATGCGCGAGCTAGGTTGTCTGATTGCAAGCCTTGTTCTTCCCCTATGTCTGTGAAGCCTTCTCTTACTGGTTCTTCCACTAATCTCTTTAGCAATCCTTCTCTTTATCGAAGTGTGGTCGGGGCTCTGCAGTACTTGACTATTACTAGGCCTAATATTTCCTTTACTGTCAATCAATTATGTCAACATTTGCATGCCCCTACCATGTGCCATTTTTCTGCTGTCAAAAGATTACTTAGATATATCAAAGGTACCATCTCTCATGGTCTCTCCTATTCTCCCAGTTCCTTTGATCTTCATGTTTTCTCTGACTATAATTGGGCTGGGATACCTCTGACAAAAAATCTACCTCCAGTTACTGTGTGTTCTTAGGGACCAATCTCATTTCTTAGTCTACCAAGAAACAACCAACTGTCTCTCGTTCTTGCACTGAGGCTGAACATTGTTCCCTAGCTCATACTGCAGCCGAACTCTCTTGGCTTGGCATGTTACTGACTGATTTGTCTATCCTCTCTCCCACCATTCCTATCTTATGGTGTGATAACATTTCAGCAATTGCTTTGGCCTCCAATCTTGTGTTTCACTCCTGGTCTAAACACATCGAAGTTAATTGCCATTTTGTTCGTGATCAAGTTCTTGGCAAGACACTCACTTTGCATGATATCCCAACCGTTGATCAAATTGTTGATATATTTACAAAACCCTTATCTGTTGCTCAGTTTTTGTATCTTAAAACCAAGCTTATGGAGTTTCAGTCCTCCATCAGCTTGCAGGGGCCTGATAAGGATTCACAACAAAGCTCCTCCATGTTGCAACAGCCAATCACATAGCAGAGCACCATATTACAATCTGTACTACATCCACATTCAAGTCACTATCACAACTTCAATTTCATATCAGCATCCATTCCAATATATGTTTGTTAGGTTGTTAGATATTTGTTAGTGAGTTAGTTACAAGTTTGTTAGACAATTAGTAAGAGGTGATGATGTATATATAATGGTTTAATCTGTATATTGAGTATTGAATAGAAAGTGGATAGAGTTTCTACAAAGATTAAGGTTTAAAAGTGATGACGGGGGTGGCTAAGATTAGAGTTAGGATTTAAAAATCAAAGAATGTGAGATATTTTGGACACGATAGAGTCCGAATCCTCTGTTGTGCTCCACTGCGATGGTTCTTGCGGTGCCCCAAAACGACATCGTTTTGGAGCAAAATTTCAGAGAAAAAAAAAACCAAAGAAAGAGAAAGAGGAGAAGAAGAAAGAAGGCATCCCACAGTCGGCGACCCACGACGCCGCCGCAACCCACCTTCCCTTCCTCTTCCTCTTCTTCTTTTTCTTCCTCCTCCTTTATCTCACTGAAACTACCAACCCACCATCGCCACCCCCATAGCCGTGAGCCCCCTTCTCTCTCTCTCTCTCTCTCTCTCTCTCTCTCTCTCTCTCTTAATTTCTATCTCAAAACCCTAATTATGGGTTTTGAGCGTGTTTCCTCTTTTCTTTGTCGCCGGTGTACCGGAGGGAGTTCGTTGATTATCCTCGTTGTCGTTCGTCATTTTCCCACAGGTTTCAACTTAGATCTGAAATGAAGAAAAATGGGTTTATGAAGACAAACAAAGTTTCAAAATCTCTATGAAAGATTTGAGATCCAAAATCAAAGAGAATGAGAGGAAAAAATTTTGACTGTTTGTTATTTGCTTTTGTTTGTATTGATCTAATTTTTAGTCAATTTTGATTTATTATTTGGGATGTTCAAAGCGTTAATATGTGTGTGTATATATCTCAGATTTTTTAACCTCAAACTTTTGTTTGAATGATTGTTAATGTTGGTGTTCTTTTGGGTGGTGGTGAGAAATAGAGGGTTTTAGAGAAGAAAGTATAGAGAAAAATGGCTGCAATAGAGAAATCCTCTACTAGTGCCTTCTTTCTTCTTCCCCTATTTTCTCTTTCTCTAGTTTGGTTTTTTTTTTTTTTTTTTTGATTTTTGAATTTTGAATTTTAAATTTTGAATTTTGCCTCCAAAATGACGTCATTTTAGGACACCACTGGAACCACAAGAGAGCACGATAGAGGATGCAGACTCGGTGGATTAAGTGTCTTTATTGAAAAAAAAAATGTACACTAAGAGTTTTTAGTATGCGAAAAATCATAGCTCCCACCAAAATGTGAACAGTAGATGTACTCAAGTTGAATGGCATAATATAGCTTTTTCTCCAAAAAGAGGCCTATAGTGGCTTTATAGCCTAAAGTCCGACCTATAATAATCATAATTTTTTAATAACTCAGTATTCAACTCACTAGACTGATTAATCATATTTGCAAGTAACAATGAAATCATAAACTTGGAGGTTTTGTAACTTTGGTAAAATTGTATATTTTTGTTGACCTTCCATAATAAACTCTAGTGCTAGAGCTTCAAAATTCATTTAAGAACTCAAATGAAATGCAAGTACATGTAATCTAGAAGTCAAGCATTCTCACAGCTAGCTTGAAACTACCTCCAACAAAGTTTTGAAATTCTTAGTAGAGCTCCCATCTGTTGCAACAGCCTCTTTAGCTTTCTTTTTAAGGATACCAATGTTTTCTCTCATCATCTTCCCTTGTTCGGCCTTGAAAACGAGATCCAAAGCTCTCATTGTTCCGCATTTAGTAAACACTCCGCCCTCAACATTGACTCCAATCTTCCATATATCCTCAACAAGCCGGCCATTCAACGGTTGATCAGCAAAAAAAGGTCTACAAATCATTGGCACACCGCCTGCAATGCTCTCTGAAATCGAGTTCCAACCAGCATGTGTTATAAAAACCCCAACCGATGCGTGTTCCAATACTTGCAACTGAGGACTCCATGGAACTATCTTTCCAAGAGTAGTTGTCCTTTCAAGAAACTTATCAAGAAGTTGAACTTTTGAACTGTCCCTAAAAGACCAAAGAAAAGGCACTTTTTGAGCTTCTAGTGCCTCTGCCAATGCCATTAGCTCATTAGGTGAGGGTGTCAAAATGGAACCAAAGCATAAGTATGCCAGTGATGAAGCTCCATGCTTGTCAAGCCATGGTATGCAACCACTCTCATCAGAAAACGATAGTGGGGGCGACGCTAGATTGAAGGGGCCTACATTAAGAACCATTTTGAGCTTTGATTTGAGATCATCTATGATGGTGTGATCAATCTCTTCAAAAGAGTTCATTGCTAGAGCTGTTGCTCTTGGCAACATTCGTCCCATGTTGTCTAGCATGCATGAGAATGGGGCTTCTAGGTTTCCATGGCAGACTCCATCTGGTAAGTCTTTGGCATGGATTGCTGACATTCCTGGGATGAATTTTAGAGTTTGGCCCATATTTTCTCCATTACCTGCATTTCTTATTTGTGCTCATCAAGTGGTAAAAAAATAAATAAATAAAATAAAATAAATTTAAATTTAAATTTAAAAAAAAAATGAGAGAGAGAGAGAGAGAGAGAGAGAGAGAGAGAGAGATTTTTAAAACTCCACCAAATTATATGACTAAAAGTTAGGATCTAGTGAATGTATCTGTCCATAAATTTGCTAGAATGGGTGATGTAATGGTTTGCAAATTCCAGTTATTGTATTGTAGGATCCATGACTTAGATGCAGATCTGATTCACGTAAGGATGTTTAGGTAAATTTGTATGTCAAACTTGGAGTTTGTGTATTGCTTAAACTTATATTGGCATCCTACAAAACAAATGTCACACGATACGCAATCTGTATGTGTGTCCATCGCTAAAATGAATGTTAAGAAGTTTTCAATATCTTGATATGTATGGCTAAAAGTATATTTACATAAATTATATCGAAATAAATTTTATAATTTGTGATTTGTATCTATTTATTTATTACTTTTTTTTTTTATTTTTTTATTTTTTTTTGAGATAAAGCAAGCAATAAGATAATCTGCATTAATTATATCAGCATTTTCTTAGATGTTGTAGTAGTCAATTTTTGCACATTGAATTTCTTGACTATGTTCAATTTAATATTCAATTGAAACATTCATTAAGAGAATTAGGCAGAAATTCGAGGTTTAAAATGATAAATTCAAATTGGACCATTCTCAATCACTTTGAAAAAGAGTGAAAGAGTTAAATTTGTACCTTGATTTTGATACATTTTTAAAAAGGCATTATTAATTGAAATTAAATTGGATACAATATGAAAAATTTAAATAGAAATTGATACAATTAGAATTACAAGGAAGACCAAATTTATACAAGAACTTATAGCCATTTATGACCTGAGATTATTAATCCATGGCTCATAATTCCATTGTTTGGTTCATTTTGAATGTTTGAATTAGATTCTGTATGGACATTTCATCTAATAAAATTGATCGATTTTTAGAATTCTTACAGCTAATAATAAAAAAACATATTATGAAAAAATTTAAACATGGACATAAAAAAAAAAAATTATTTATCGCACTAATTCAGTTAGATAATACATCTAATATGACGAATTATGAAACTTATAATCCAACTATGTCAAATAAGGCTAAAATGGGTAATGTATTCACCCCTCCCCCCCCAAAAAAAAAAAAACAAAAAAAAAAAAAAAAAAAAAAAAAAAAAAAAAAAAAAAACAAAAAAACTATTATCAATTTTATTTTGAGTGATTTTTCTGTATAGCTCCCATATAATAGACTAATTCCATCAAACCCGTTATGTCGTATGCACCTCCTGACTAAAATACCCTTGCTAAAATGTGAGATGGGCATGAATAAATTGAATAATGTGTTAGGTGGGTTTTTTAATTTTTTTTTATTTTTAACTTTTAAATTTCATCATTTTCATTTTATTGATATGTTTTTCTTCAAATTTATTTGGATGAATTACACTAACGGCCTCTATAATTTAAAATTTGTGTCACTTATGCTCCCTTTACTTTGGGACTTATGTCATTTTGATTCCTAATCTTTCAATTATGATACATTTGACTTTAAATTTTGAATCACATTTCAAATAAGAACAATTAAAGATACTGTTTTATTTGCAAACAGAAAATGCTCAATTTTAAGGTTAAAGTAGCCAATTTCATAAAAATATAAACTAATTTTACAAAAATAAATATGTAATCGATATGTTTAATATATATATGAAATGATTTTAGTTTTAGATTTTTTTTAAGGTATGATTTAATAATGACATCAAAGTTATTGTCATTTTGACTTTTGAAAAATAGAAAATAATTTAACAAAAATTAATTTTTTTAAAAAAATTATTTCTACCCTCCTAAAAGATAAAAATTATGTGTTTTTAATTTTTTTTTCACCAAATTATTTTGTAATTTCTTAGAAAAAAATTCCTGAAAATAGATTATAAAAACCAAACTAAATAGAACTTTATAACCAAGAAAGTGCTAGCATTATTCATTAAAAATAATGCTATTACATTTCAAACATCATACAAGTTAATCAAACAAAATAAGTTGTATGGTGATTTTACCCTTGAAATAGACTGTTTGCAAGGGAAACATCTTTGATTGTCTTTGTTTGGAACAAAATTTAAAATTCAAGATCAAATGTATGACAATTGAAAAGTTAGGAATCAAAGTGATGCAAGTCTCAAACTATAGGGACTGTCAATGTAATTTGCCCAATTTATTTGGAACCTATTTGAAGATACCTATCAAATAAGATCTATATCCTCTATAAAATTTTGAAGAAAAAAACTTTGACATTCTGCTTTAAAGAAATTCTGAAAATTTTCAATTTCTCTACGAGTAAAGTACTAATAAATCCCAAAATATGATATTGTGAACTGTTTAGTCCTCCATTTTTTCTTATGAACCCAAAGGTCTCAGTAAAGTGAAAATTACACAAAAGAATAGTCACTTATACATTTTGTTTTAATTTTTTAGGGATAAAAGTGGGTTTCTCCAAATGTCAAATTACACATTTGGATAATCCGCACTATAGAGATTTTAGATTTTTCCTTCTTCTAGAACAAATCTCACATTATGAACAAGAGCGTAACAGTCCAATGTAACACTCAAATAACGTAATGCTCTAACGTAACACACTAAAAAACTTTTTAATATATTTTTATCAAACGTAACAATATAATACTCAAAAAAAAAAAAAAACTTCTTACTGTACATTTCTCAAACGTAACACTCCAATGCAACACACAAAAAAACTCCTTAGTGTACTTTTTTCAAACGTAACACTCCAATCAATGTAATTCCAAACATAACACTCTAATGTAACTGAATAAGATATGAATGTCTGGATTATTATTCAATGAATGAATCAATTACACCATATTGGTTTAAGATATGAATGTCTAGATTATTATTCAATGAATGAATCAATTACACCATATTGGTTTAAGATATGAATGTCTAGATTATTATTCAATGAATGAATCAATTACACCATATTGGTTTAAGATATGAATGTCTAGATTATTATTCAATGAATGAATCAATTACACCATATTGGTTTAAGATATGAATGTCTAGATTATTATTCAATGAATGAATCAATTACACCATATTGGTTTAAGATATGAATGTCTAGATTATTATTCAATGAATGAATCAATTACACCATATTGGTTTAAGATATGAATGTCTAGATTATTATTCAATGAATGAATCAATTACACCATATTGGTTTAAGATATGAATGTCTAGATTATTATTCAATGAATGAATCAATTACACCATATTGGTTTAAGATATGAATGTCTAGATTATTATTCAATGAATGAATCAATTACACCATATTGGTTTAAGATATGAATGTCTAGATTATTATTCAATGAATGAATCAATTACACCATATTGGTTTAAGATATGAATGTCTAGATTATTATTCAATGAATGAATCAATTACACCATATTGGTTTAAGATATGAATGTCTAGATTATTATTCAATGAATGAATCAATTACACCATATTGGTTTAAGATATGAATGTCTAGATTATTATTCAATGAATGAATCAATTACACCATATTGGTTTAAGATATGAATGTCTAGATTATTATTCAATGGGTGGTAAAAAAAAAAAAACTCAAAACTCAAAACGAAAACACATTTTTTGTGTTTTCATTTTTTAGCCAAATTTATAAACTGAGACCACTGATTTATAAATCAAAAATTTTACCAAACAAGTTTTTATTTGAGTTTTTTAAATTTTTGTAAATATAAACAGAAAACTAAAAACGTAAATGTTACCAAACGGCACCTAAGAGTTTAGAATGTGAAAATCATAGCTCCCACCAAAATATAAACAGTAGACTTACTCTAGTTGAATGGCATGATGTAGCTTTTTCTCCAAAAAGACGCCTATAGTGGCTTTATAGCCTAAAGTCCAACCTACAACCTACAATAATCACAATTTTTTAATAACTCAGTATCCAACTCACTAGACTGATAAATCATATTTGCAAGTAACAATGAAATCCCGAACTTGGAGGTTTTGTAACTTCAGTAAAATTGTATATTTTTGTGGACCTTCCATAATGAACTCTAGTGCTAGAGCTTAAAAATTCATTTAAGAACTCAAATGAAATGCAAGTACATGTAATCCACAAGTCAAGCGTTCTCACAGCTAGCCTGAAACTACCTCCAACAAAGTTTTGAAATTCTTAGTGGAGCTCCCATCTGTTGCAACAGCCTCTCTAGCTTTCTTTTTAAGGATACCAATGTTTTCTCTCATCATCTTCCCTTGTTCGGCCTTGAAAACGAGATCCAAAGCTTTCATTGTACCGCATTTAGTAAACACTCCGCCCTCAACATTGACTCCAATCTTCCATATATCCTCAACAAGCCGGCCATTCAAAGGTTGATCAGCAAAAAAAGGTCTGCAAATCATTGGCACACCGCCTGCAATGCTCTCTGAAATCGAGTTCCAACCAGCATGTGTTATAAAAACCCCAACCGATACGTGTTCCAATACTTGCAACTGAGGACTCCATGGAACTATCTTTCCAAGAGTACTTGTCCTTTCAAGAAACTTATCAAGAAGTTGAACTTTTGAACTGTCCCTAAAAGACCAAAGAAAAGGCACTTTTTGAGCTTCTAATGCCTCTGCCAATGCCATTAGCTCATTAGGTGAGGGTGTCAAAATGGAACCAAAGCATAAGTATGCCAGTGATGAAGCTCGATGCTTGTCAAGCCATGGTATGCAGCCACTCTCATCAGAAAACGATTGCGGGGGCGATGCTAGATTGAAGGGGCCTACATTAAGAACCATTTTGAGCTTTGATTTGAGATCATCTATGATGGTGTGATCAATCTCTTCAAAAGAGTTCATTGCTAGAGCTGTTGCTCTTGGCAGTATTCGTCCCATGTTGTGTAGCATGCATGAGAATGGGGCTTCTAGGTTTCCATGGCAGACTCCATCTGGTAAGTCTTTGGCATGGATTGCTGACATTCCTGGGATGAATTTTAGAGTTTGGTCCACATTTTCTCCATTACCTGCATTTCTTATTTGTGCTCTTCAAGTGGTAAAAATAAAAAAATAAAAATAATAATAATAATAAATTTAAAATTTAAGAAGAGAGAGAGAGGGAGAGAGAGAGAGAGAGAGAGAGAGAGAGAGAGAGAGAGAGACTTAAAACTCCACCAAATTATATGACTAAAAGTTAGGAATCCTGAAAGTTTGTCCATAAATTTGGCTAGAATGGTGATGTATGGTTGAAATTCAGTTATTGTATTGTAGGATCCATGACTTAGATGAATCTGATCACGTAAGGATGTTTCTAGGTAAATTTATGGATCAAACTTGAGTTTGTAGTATTGCTAAAATTATATTGGCATCCTACAAACAATTCACACGAACCATCTGTATGCGTGTGCATGCTAAATGAATGTTAAGAAGTTTCAATATCTGATATGTATGCTAAAAAGTATATTTACATAAATTATTCTCATAAATTTTATAATTGGTGATTTGTATCTATTTAGATGTTGTAGTTGTCAATTTTGCACTTGAATTTCTTGACTATGTCAATTTAGTTCAATTGATAACATTCATTATGGAATTAGGCAGAAATCAAGGTTAAAATGATAAATTCAAATTGGACACTCTCAATCACTTTGAAAAGAGTGAAGAGTTAATTTTGTACCTTGATTTTGATACAATTTTTAAAAGGTATTATCAATTGAATTAAATTGATACAATAGGAAAAATTAAATAGTAAATTTGATACAATTAAAATTACAAGGAGACCAAATTTATACAAGAACTTATAGCATATGACTGAGATTATTAATCCATGGCTCATATTCCATTGTTTGGTTACAATTTTTGATGTTTGAATTAGATTCTGATGGACATTTCATCTAATAAAATTGATCGATTTTTTAATTCTACAGCTAATAATAAAAAAACATATTTATTGAAAAATAAACATGGACATAAAAAAAAAATTATTTATCTCACTAATTCAGTTAGATAATCAATCTTAATATGACGAATTATGAACTATTAATCCAACTAGTCAAATAAGGCTAAAGGGTATGATTCACCCCCTCCCCCCCCCCACAACCCCCCCCCCCCCCAAAAAAAAAAAAAACTATTATCAATTTTGTTTTGAGTGATTTTTCTGTAGCTCCAATATAATAGACTAATTCCATCAAACCCGTTATGTCGTATGCACCTCCTGACTAAGATACCCTTGTTAAAATGTGAGATGGGCATAAATAAAATGAATAATGTGTTAGGTGGGTTTTTTAATTTTTAATTTTTATTTTTAACTTTTAAATTTCATCATTTACATTTTATTGATATGTTTTTCTTCAAATTTATTTGGATGAATTATACTAACGGCTTCTATAGTTTAAAATTTGTGTCACTAATAGTCCCTTTACTTTGGGGTTTATGTCATTTTGGTTCCTAATCTTTCAATTATGATACATTTGACTTTAAATTTTGAATCACATTTCAAATAAGAACAATTAACGATACTGTTTTATTTGCAAACAGAAAATGCTCAATTTAAGGGTAAAGTAGCCAATTTCATAAAAATATAAACTAATTTTACAAAAATAAATATTTAATCGATATGTTTAATATATATATGAAATGATTTTAGTTTTAGATTTTTTTTAAGGTATGGTTTAATAATGACATCAAAATTGTTGCCATTTTGACTTTTGAAAAATAGAAAATAATTTAACGAAAATTAATTTTAAAAAAATTATTTCTACCCTCCTAAAAGATAAAAAGTACGAAAAAGTACGAAAAAATTATTTTGGTTTGTGTTTGAGAAATGTGTTTTAGAGATAAAAAGTACGAAAAGTTGTTTGGTTTGGTTTTTTTCAAAAGTTGTTTTGGAAAATTATTTTGAGAAAGAGTTTTGAAAAAAGTGATTGATTTGATGTGTGTGAGAGAGAGATTTGTTTGGAAAACTTGTTTGGTTTACAAGTTTTGAGAATTTTTTTTGGGAAAATTTGTTTGGTTTGATTACTTTTAAAAACTTATTTGTAGAGAAAATTTTCCAAATTTTTTTTAGAAATACAAACCAAACGAACCCATGTTTTTAATTTTTTTTCACCAAATTGTTTTGTAATTTCTTAGAAAAAAATTCCTGAAAATAGATTATAAAAACCAAACTAAATAGAACTTTATAACCAAGAAAGTGCTAGCATTATTCATTAAAAATAATGCTATTACATTTCAAACATCATACAAGTTAATCAAACAAAATAAGTTGTATGGTGATTTTACCCTTGAAATAGACTGTTTGCAAGGAAAACATCTTTGATTATCTTTGTTTTGAATAAAATTTAAAATTCAAGATCAAATGTATGACAATTGAAAAGTTATGAACCAAAGTGATACAACTCTCAAACTATAGGGACTGTCAATGTAATTTGCCCAATTTATTTGGAACCTATTTGAAGATATCTATCAAATAAGATCTATATCCTCTATAAAATTTTGAAGAAAAAAACTTTGACATTCTGCTTTAAAGAAATTCTGAAAATTTTCAATTTCTCTACGAGTAAAGTACTAATAAATCCCAAAATATGATATTGTGAACTGTTTAGTCCTCCATTTTTTCTTATGAACCCAAAGGTCTCAGTAAAGTGAAAATTACACAAAAGGATAGTCACTTATACATTTTGTTTTAATTTTTTAGGGATAAAAGTGGGTTTCTCCAAATGTGAAATTACACATTTGGATAATCCGCACTATAGAGATTTTAGATTTTTCCTTCTTCTAGAACAAATCTCACATTATGAACAAGAGCGTAACAGTCCAATGTAACACTCAAATAACGTAATGCTCTAACGTAACACACTAAAAAACTTGTTAATATATTTTTCTCAAACGTAACAATGTAATACTACAAAGAAAAAAAAACTTCTTCCTGTACATTTCTCAAATGTAACACTCCAATGTAACACACAAAAAAACTCCTTAGTGTATTTTTTTCAAACGTAACACTCCAATCAATGTAATTCTAAACATAACACTCTAATGTAACTGAATAAGATATGAATGTCTGGATTATTATTCAATGAATGAATCAATTACACCATATTGGTTTAAGATATGAATGTCTAGATTATTATTCAATGAATGAATCAATTACACCATATCTGGTTTTATACATCAATAGAACTCACTAACCAACAATACTTGAATCGTAGGTTGCTTGGCTACAGGACTGAAGGTTTCATAATAATCAATCCCTTCTTGCAAATAACCCTTAGCAACCAGGCAGGTTTTATGTCGAACAATAGTTCCAACAGAGTTTTTCTTAAGACGAAAAACCCATTTACAGCCAATAGCTTGCTTATGAGGAGGAAGAAGAACCAAAGTCCAAGTTTTTTGCCTTTCCAAAGCTTTAAATTCTTCATTTATGGCTAGAGTCCAGGTTGAGGTTTGAAGAGCTTAATTATGAGAATGAGGTTCAATAAGAAAAGATCAGGAGAAAGACAAATAGAAGTAAGAAGAGAGAAATAAGAGGCCTTGACCTAGTAACCATGGGATGAGATTTAATAGGAGCTTGAGTTTGAGGTGGAGCATGAACTGGAGGTGGATCTGCCCAAGGAGGAGGAAGATGAACTGGAGGTGGAGCTGGACATGAATAACAGTTGAGATTAACAAGAAGAGAGCCAATAGGAATAGTAGAGGAGGATGGACCAGTTAGAACAGAGGGTACGGCAGGAGGAGAAGGCATAAGTGCGTCAACAGGTGGAAAAAGGCTAGCTGAAGCTAAAACAAGGGCCGCACAGAACAAGTGTAATAAGACACAGGACATGTGCAGCAGTACTAGAGGGAGCAACAGAAGCATAAACTGATGTAAACAGAGGTACAAAAGATAGAGAAGCAGGTAGAGTAGCAAGTCAAACATGAGGAGTCTGACCCATAGGTGAAACAGGAGTAGGCTGACCCATAGAAGTAGATTGAGCAGTAGATGGAGCTGAAATAGGAGAAAAGAGAGATGACTTCGTATACCAAAAGAAAGAGTAAAGTTGAGAAAATGAAGGAATAGAACCAGAGGAAAGAGATGATGCATCAAGAGTGACCAAAGGAAAGAAATATTCATCAAACACAACATGTCTTGACACATAAATGTTACATGTAAAAGGATCAAGATATCTATATCCTTTTATGGAAGGATGATAACCAATAAAATACAAGGTAAAGAATGAGGTTGAAGTTTGTGAGAATTATAGGATTTAATCCAAGGAAAACACCTACATCCAAAACTTTTGAGAAAACCAAAATCTGGAGCTTAATGAAACGATATTTTAAAAGGAGTTTTATTATGCAATTTGGAACTAGGTAAATGATTAATAAGAAAAATAGATGTGACCAAAGCATCAAACCAGTGGGACAATGAAAGACCTGATTGATGAAGAAGAGCAATAGTGGTGCTAATGAGATGTCTGTGCTTCCTTTCTGCAACTCCATTTTGAGGAGTATGAGGACAAGAAAGCTGATGCAAAATACCATGATTTTTAAGAAACAATTCAAATTGAGTACTTGTAAATTCACCACCACCATCTGTTCGAAAAATTTTAAGCGTAGTATCAAATTGATTTTCAACGAACACCTTTAATTCTTTAAATTTAGAGAAAACTTCACTTTTGTAACTCAAAGGATAGATATAGGTGAACTTACTAAAATCATCAAGAAAAATAACATAGTGCTTAATACTAGAAGCAGAAGAAGAGAAAGGTCTCCAAACATCACCGTGGATAAGGGACAATGGTTTATTAACAGTGGCATTAGACAAATGGAAAGGTAATCTATGACTCTTGGCCACAGCACAATGAGTACACATCTGATTTTTATTACAAGTAGAAGAAATAGGCAAACTAAATTCCTTTAGCAAGACTTGCAACTTTTAAGATGAAGGATGACCAGGCCTGGTATGCCATGTAGTAGGAGAGACGGAGCTAATAGCAAGAAAAGTAGAAGAAACAGATCATGCATATGTAGATAATGGCAAACTAGA